CGCTAAAATACTGGAGTACTGCTATCATATCCCAAAGATATCCAATGGGATGCTATTGTGATTGATTGATTGATTGATTGATCAATTGATTTTATCTGTGCATGTTTGTTATGCTACTAAAAGGCGTAGTTTTCTTCTGTGTTGTGATTTTTTTTTGGAGGGATATTTCTTTTTCTTTCTCTACTTAATTCCTGATGATAATCCCTTCTCAATTAATCCCTTCTCAATTAACCCCACTGGCATCCATGGAAATTTGAAATCTAGAGTAGATTACTGCTTGTAGGGCAGTGTTTCCCAAAGTGTGGTACGCGTACCCCCAGGGTAACGGGAAGAGTTTGGTGGGTGTACGCATTGCACCGGAGTTTGGTGGGGATCACGTGGGAATATCCACTGCACCGTGCTTAGCTGCGCCCACAGAACGAAAGAAATAGGTGCGTATCGCAGTTTTTACATGGGAACTGGGGCCATTGTACATCGTATCGCAACTCATTATGGCGGGAACTTCTGCGCATCCTTCGCGCAGCTCGGGGTCGGCCATTTTTTAACTGCGGGGACATTAACAGTTGACGTTGAGCCACGGAGCTGTTTAAACGCCGGAGAATTGCAGTGTTATCTAATGGCATTGAATCAAATAAATGTTCTTTATAATATAACTTTCGTTTATTTTGCGTATGTACCAAAAAAAGAAAAAAGAAAAATATTTTGATTTTTATTAAAGCATTTGTTTTTTATGAGGGGTACTCAGCGTTACGAAAATTATAGAAGGGGTACACATATGTCAAAAGTTTGGGAAACACTGCCGTACAGGATGGCCAATGGAAGTGCATAGCACCATGAAAGTGGAAATGCTTCCTGATGGTTTGCTGACTCCAACTGGCTAAGATAGCTGACAAGAGTAACAACTAATGGCTTCTGGAGCCAGAAACAACAGAGCTTTCCCTTAAGTCCATTGGCTTTTTGATGTCCTCTACTATCCTTTGTCACAAGGTTTGTTTTGCTTGGTCATAGTCTAAATTGAGTATTGAGGCTGGGGAGAAGTCTAGTTTGGCAAAGGTCTACTCAACAGCCTTAATCCATGTCAAGGAGAATTTGTCTTGGAGGATTAAAGGAGCAAGACCTTGTGGAAAGAAGTTAAAGACATTATACAGATTCTTGCTTCAACTTTTATCAATCCTGTCTCCAGGCGCAGAAGTACATTTGAGACAAAGCACAGCATCTGGAGAATTGCTCTAATAAATTTGGATTGAACTTTTCCCAATGGGGTGAAACACGCAGCTGAGGATCCGAGCAAGGTCCCATAAAGAAGCTGTGTGGAACCTACTATACATTGCAGAACATTTCACATGTAATATAGCTTATTTGGCATTCAAGGATCAATTCTTCTGATCCATGACTATTCTTGTTATCTGGAATGTTCCATCTTCCCTGGCCCATTTTCCCAAGATTCTTTTGCCACAGTCAAGGATGGAATAGAGGAAGCTATGCACACAACTCCATGCTCTTCCGCTGAGAATAGACTACTACTTTGTTGAGGCTGCACTCTGTAGGCAAGGCTGAAAGAATATGGCTCCTTTCTGTTACAGGATAACCCTAAAACTAACATTGTTAGTTTTCACATTGCCCAACTTGGCTATAAATGCAAAAATATCCAAAATGAAAGACAAAAATATATACTTTTTCATATTTTCCAGCAAGAATTTGCTAAAGGTTTACTTCCTCTTTTCTTTTCTAAACTACAAATATCATTCATGTTCAAAATGTCTCTTTACTTTTCCCAATATGAATCCCGGTTGAGACATTTTGACTCTCCAAACAATTTTCCATACCTCAGAGTCTTTCAACTACCAAAATAGTTTTTTTTCCCTTTAAGGCCTAAATGCTACATTCATCAATTAGCTGCCCCAATGTAAAATATAATTATCAAATCTATGTGTACCAGAAACAAATCTACAAAACAGCAGAAAGTACCACACTAGGTTCAGAACAATTTAAAGTAGTTCTCAGAGTTTTTCTCTGAGAGAGAATATCAAGTTTTGCTTAATTAAACAATGGCATAAAAGTTAGAGGAAATTACATACGAAAACAAGGCAAAAACTTCTGCAAAAGCATTGAACTTTTCAAAAGCCTTTTGAAATATGGCTTAGCTGTTAGTCAATTATATACTACTAAGGGCAACCCCCAGAGCTATGCATTTTATTAATTAACCTGAAATGGTGTGATTAGAATGTCAAATACAAACATTGCTTTATTGTTATGATGTGTGAAGTCAATGTGCAAAAACACCTCTCATACAAATTCACACTCACTGCTACTAGCTAATTTGCAAAATCATTTGAAACTTGATGAAGGTCATTAGCTGTATTTGCAGTTTTAATGGACTCAGTAAATAAGAGGGTTTTTTTGGGGGGGGGGGGTGTTGCTTTTAGAAAATATCAACGAACTGTACATACTGTACAGTATGTTTTATTTACCCCAAGGAAGCATATAAAACAAAATCCATAGAAATACATCAACCAAAATTGTATTAGGACTAAACGATATTTACAATACATTGTGCAAAAACAGTTCTACCCTAACACAATATACTAATCTCTGGAATAAGTATCAGACTGCGTCAGACAAAAGCAGAATAACCATGATCTGTGCTTAATTCTTAAGGTGCACAATCTCAGGCAAGTTGTTTTATCCAACCGGACGCCTGGTTTTCCTAGGAGTTTAGGTATTTTAGATGACTTTTAATTTTTAAAGTATATTTGTTTTTAAGTTAGTTTTATTATCATTCACAAACATGCAGAAGCTGCCTTGGGAGTTCTAGTGCCCTCTCAAGCCGTCATATATTTTCAATAATAAACAATAAAAACCACGAAATAAAATTAGTTAATTGTGATGAGCTGTGCTAAGCAACAGCGTATAGTAGTAGCATCTACAAGCATCTGTTGGACTGAATTGATGGCAGAAATGTATTTCTAATACATCCTTATGATGTTCTAATACATTTTAACGATTTTTATTATTGTTCCTTTCCTCTCCCATCAGTGAAGAGAAGGGAACATTTCAAATGGAAAGTGGAGAGAGCCTAATTCTGTTTAGAAGTAAGGGAGACACCACAGCCCTTGCATATTATTTCCTTTCAAATGGAGTCCCTCTTGCTGAGAAACTTGTCCACCATCTATACTCATAAAGAAAGAAAACAGAAAGTTGTGGAAGAGGCTCTTATCATTTGCAATTGTCTGTAGGAAGTGCTTTAAAGGAAAAGGAGATGTAGGTCAGGATGCTCTCCTCTTCTTCTCTTTCCTCTACCCACTTAGAAGCAGCACAGTCCCTTTCTGAATCCAGTGTGAATGTTTAACAATGTTTTAAGCCAGCCCATAACAACACTTACAGCAATAGCTGATGTTTCATCTTGCCTGTTTGCTCCAATTGGTTTGAGCTGATTGTTAAATTTTGTTTGGAAAATTAGGGAATGAAAGAAAGCTAATTATCCCTTTCACTGTCATTTTTCTTCCTTGGAATGCAGGCAAACTATATTTCAGGAAGAGGAGGTGAAAGAGTGGATTTTGGGTGCCAGGGCCCTAGAAGAGCTCATTAGAGAGACCGCCTGCTGCCAATTACCTCCCACAGACCCATTAGATCTCACAGGGTTGGCCTCCTCCGGGTGCCATCTACCAGCCAATGCCACCTGGCTATTACCCGGGGGAGGGCCTTCTCTGTGGCAGCTCCGGCCCTCTGGAACGAACTCCCCGCAGGGATTCAGCCCCTCACCTCTCTCCAGGCCTTCCGAAAAGCCGTCACATCCTGGCTTTGTCAACAGGCCTGGGGGTGATGAGTTCCCCTCCCCTCTCGACCTGTGTGGTTGTGCGACTGTTGCCTATTTTTATTATTTGTATTTCGTTTTTATGTTCCCCTTTTCCCCCGTTTGAATTGTTCATTCCAGAGGGCCGGAGCTGCCACAGAGAAGGTCCTCCCCCGGGTAATAGCCAGGTGGCATTGGCTGGTAGATGGCACCCGGAGGAGACCAACCCTGTGAGATCTAATGGGTCTGTGGGAGGTAATTGGCAGCAGGCGGTCTCT